CCTGACAGTTACTTTACTTCTTATGCGCATGCGCTGGATCTTAGTACATAGGATGCTCTGTTAAATTTGAGTATGTTGCTCAACCTGTATGTTGTTTTTCTGGTATAGCAAACCGTACCAAGCAGTTCCACTCTTTATTTACGTATTCTAAGAGCTTCTCCTTTCTATATTTTCTTGTGACAATAAGCCGAGTTTCAAGGGTTACTGATTCCAAAAGGCTTCGTGAGAGAAAACTGTTTACAGGCGTCCCTTGACTTCTACCAAAAGAAGAGTCGGTTAATGCAGAGATTGGATCAGAGTGGTTCTGCCCACTGTTAAGGCCCATTTCTGTCGGACCAGTGATTGGAAAAATATTATTTTTGTAGTTTACAACAACTACTTTGTTACAAATGTAGTTAACTACAACTACTTTTTTTTTAAATATAATAACTGCAAACTACTTTAGAATTTATTAACCACTTCACTATTTTATAGAGACAAATTTTACTGGAGAAATTAATTTTCACCTGTATAATTTACACTGCAGGAGAAATTAATTTACACATCATGTTCAAAATGGTTTTGAATAAAAAAATTTTGGATTATATTAAACATGGGGAATTATTTAAAAATATTTATTCATGTTTACATGAGCCAGTTGTTATTCTAAAGATTTTTTTTTTCGAATTGTTCATGTAGTCTTCAACATTTTATGCCCTTTTCGACAGCGAATATTAAATTTAAGAAATGTTAGGGAATTATCAAATGCTTGTCATTTCATTTCGCAATTCTTGTAAACTCACAGTCACAAGGGCATTTGAAATTGCGTCCTTTGACAGACCCGCGAAAATTTGTACCCATCAAATTCGAAAAATTAGTTAAATTAAAACTCTGTTCATTTACTAAACTAACGTGAAAAGTAGTTGCCAGGAAACGCTACAAACTACTGTTTTTTTTTTTGTATCGCACTACTCACTACACAACTTCTTTTTTTAAAAAAAGTAGCACACTGCACTACAAACTACGAAAAAAAAGTTGCGACTACAGTAGTTTCACAACTTGTAGAGCCCTACTTCCGACCACTGATCTTTACGTTCTTTCAAATGGAGAGAACCAGGGACTCTCTACCTGTCATTATCTCGACCATTATGTACCATTATCTCCGCAAGGTTTGTTGACTTATGCAGGCATAATGCTGAATTCCTACACATTCATGTCTTTGAAAGAGGTACTATGATTGATCTGAGGTCTTGGAGCAGTACGTTTGTCTTTTCAGGGATACAGTGGGTACTGATTTCATTTTAATGGATGACACTGTGACGCCACACAGAGTGGACTATTTTCTGAAAAAAGAGATATTTGCTAAACGGATTGACCTTACAGAGCATGTCTGGAACACTTTGGAAAGGAACACAACGTATGTTACTCCCTCCTAGAACCATTCAATGTCTGAAAACAGCGTTACTGACAGAATGAGACAAACAGCCACAGGAACTCATAAACTGCATTATCTCCAGCATGAAATCACAGTGTGAGGACTGTATGTTTGTAAGAGGGGCCATACTTCTCCTTAAACCATTTTTGTTATTCAATTCTGTTACCATTCGTTGATACCATCTGATTTTGATCACGCATGATCATGCGTGTGTATTATAACTGTTGAATAATTATTATTTTTGTATTCTATCAACATGATGTTCAAACAAATGTTTTCTTTTAAATTTGTCCAGTAATTCTGGAGACAATTGACCTGATAAAAAATTCTCGTCATTTTGAACAGCAGTATATATATTATTCCACGTCTAACTGCAATGCAATGCGTACAATTGAATGGATTACACGTAATTTTATTTGAAGTGCATAAAATTGCCCCCAGGAAAAAAAATAATTCAACAATGTGTTTATTTGTACTTCTATTTAAGGAGTTGAATAAATTTATAAAAAATTTTATCAATTCGCAGAAAATAGGTTACATTGATAAAAGTGTGCCTTTCTTTTTCAAAAAAAATAAATAAATATTGAGTGCTTTCAAAACATGTCCGACATTTAGTTAATTCGATTCTTCTCTTTTTTGAATGATGCGAATGGAAGCACAGGATGCGTGAGTTCTCCCCATCCATAAATTCGAAATATTGCTTTGATCTTCAGACCCATTCTGTGCATCCAGGAAACGAGTGACATCACTTGAGATAGATTTGGAATTTGGATAGATTTTTCTGAATTTCCGCTTCATTAGTTTTATGTTCAAAAATTGAGAAACGCTTATTTTTCCTCAAGCGAGTTGTTGAGATTTTCAGAACTTAAAAAAAATATGTTTTTTATATGTTTATTTTTTTATGTATATAACCGTCGTTGAACAGTCGACCCAAATTTATGGGTTTACGATTACTAATGTTCAACTCCTTAGCCTGGAATTTTGAACCCAATCGAGAAAACAAGGAAACTCCTGGATCGAGTATTATTAGAAATTTGCCTTCGTGAAGGACTTTTTGATGGAGCTAACCCGCATTTGCGGGACATGGAGAGGAAGACCACGAGAACCTCCCACAGTCAGCCAGACGGCAAGAGCACTTTAACCCATGATCCGCCTACCACTGTCCCGTCAGTACTGTGGTCGACCCGATTCACCTCATTGGAAGGCGGACGCTCTATCCCCTGAGCCACTGTTCCAATTTGTTCGAAAATTATCACAGTTTTAAGTGCTCTTTAGTAATTTTTTTCTTTAAATAATAATTTTTTATATCTCTCCCACAGTTTTCATTTTATAAGCTCATCCTTGACTTAATGTTAAAGGTAACAAAAAAAAGGAATAAGTAAAAAATAAGAGAGAGTTTAGATGCTTCCCGATACTAATCTAAATATTAACATCGATTTTTTTAAAAATATCATGCGAATTATTATACGATCTAAGGTCATCCTTATATACACTGAAGAGTCATTACAAAATGACCACCTTCCATCTATAACAATGGGCTCGCCCAGGTTTTCATGGTTTCTAGCCCAAGAACAATGCTTTCATGGGGCACAATAGCTCCCATAATCTTCGTAGAACAATCCCTGACGTCTGTAAGCTACTTGAACATAGTTGCAGACCAGGTTCACCCATTTCACCCAATTTTAAACTTTACCTTCGGGACATTTTACAATGAAAGAGGATGGGACATCAGCAATTTTTGCTGGAAAATAAAAATTGCATTTAGGTTTTTACTCTTTTAAGAGTCAGAACAGTTATACTACCACTTATAAGTGTGAAAGATGTGGCAATAAAAGTTATCTTAATTCTTAAAAAGTAAATAATTACCTGTATTCTTCAATGCTTTTTATCTAACTATAAAAGATGAGTTGCGTTTGGAATACGATTGGAAGGTTTTGGGATGCGATTGGAAGGTTGTGATTCGGCTGCATTTCTTCAAATATTCGATACGTTTACAAGAATAAATGGCTTTATGAAGCAAAACTCACATTTTTTATATTCTTGAACTTTCTCGTCTAACTTTCAAGTAATCTAAGACTATTTAGTTTTCATAAAAAACACCTTTTTTAAAGCAAAATAACCACTTGGTTTTGGATAACTTTACAGATACTGATTGGGTGACGCCTGTCGCGTTCATTGAGTTTAATCTAACATAGTGAATAAGGAGTATGTTTCCTTTTTAGAACAAAACAGAATCATTAGTTTTTTATAAATAGCTAGTTCTAAACCAATGAGAAAATTAAATTTTTCAAACGTCTCTTCCGAGCAATATAATTGGAATGTTTTGAACAATTTTTGGAATCGGGTAATTAATTGCCTCGTGCTAACGCTGCCCAAGTTTCAAGAACAAACATTTCCGTTGTTTTAAGAGTAAGAAGCACAAACTCTTTATTTTTTTTATTATAGATTTAGCTTATGACTATTAATATTTTCTCCATTTTTCTTTTAAATTTCAGCACTGATATTGAGCAAATAAACAGGATGTTAGTCAAACACCACCTTAAATACATAAGTTTAAACTCCGCGTTAAAAATGAAGTAAAAACCTTTAATCAGCTAGTTAATAGTTCATCGAAGAAAACTAAACATGTTATCGAAACCAGATGATTCACTATTGAGAAGGGTGGGATTAAAAACATTAAAAAAACAGTTTTGGTACTTTATATCTCACCTTGACGTTGTTTCTAACAATCAAATTCACATCCTCTCAGGTTTGTCCAGCAATGGAAGTAGCTTTGATGTTTTTAATCTCGTCTTCAGTTTGGTTTCTTCAACACCCCTCTATACACATTATTCGACTCTTTGTCAAAAATGAAGTAAAAAAATATGCGCATTAAAGATTTGCAAAATAATATCAAAGCCATGAAATGTCAAACACGCTATCAAAGCCAGATGAATCATTACTTAGTACATCAAAACCAGATGAATCATTACTTAGTACATCAAAGCCAGATGAATCATTACTTCAAAACCAGTTCATTTGCTTTCAAGGTGATATGAATAATCGTCTTTTATCTCTTCTCAGTTTTTCAGGCAATGAAACCTGTTTTTATTCTACTCTTTCTCGTTAATGATTCGACAAGGGATTGATAAAGTTTTTGTTTTGCTTCACCATAAATATTAATTTTCGACTCTTCACGCGCATATTTTTCTTTGACTCTATTTCTGACAAAGATTCTAAAAAATATGGATTAAAGGGGGTGATTACTGAACACCCTGCATAATGATATAAATATACGTTGTTTGATCCCAACCCTACAACTTATTATTTTCAAAACATTGATTTAAATTCCGCTTTTCACTCTTTTTCATTTTATGAAGTTAAAAGTTTGTGGGTCTTTCTTTCCAAACAGACTGCACTCAATAAGTTTGTTAATTGAAGATTAAAAAATCATTCTAAATTTTTCAGAATAGCATTTTTAATACAATTCAGACGTAAAAATATTTGAACATGTGAAACAAGTGAAAGCATAACTAATTATAAAAATTGACCACCAGGGGGCCGTTTTAAGGGTCGTAAAAAGTTCGAAAGAGAGAGAAAAGGTATTTTTGAAAGGGAAGCGAACGAATGAGGATTGCGCTCTCAACTTCGGCTCTCTTTTCTCCTCATGGCACGTGAATTATTTCGAAAGGAATCTCTATGGTGAAAAAAGAATTTCTCTATCTGACCCTACCATTGGGTAAGGGACACATTTTCCACATTATTATCTTTCTTTTTTTCATTTTAGAAAGTTAAAAGTATTAAAAACACGAGATGAAATAGCCGACAAAAAGCACTTAAGTACTACGAGATCTGTAATAATTTCGTGAGTAATGATACTTCCACATGCGAATTGAATGTTGAATTTTAAATTGAATTGCGATCATCACTCTCTGTTAGAATTTATTGTAATATTGAGTAGGATAATTTCCGACTCCGCTTCAGTAATGGAGGAAGATTCCAGATTAATACTAGTGACTTTTTTTTAAAACAAATATGATAAGTATGAATATCCAGTATTTGAAATACTTGTAAGAAATATATAATTAAGAAATTTATAAAGAATAAAAATCAAATACGACATGGATATTCTTTTTTTTCAAAAAAACAACATATTTTTGCGTAATTAATAGAAATGCGCAAGAAATGTTGATATCATTATATTTTACTACTGAAATTTATTTCCAGGGTCAATTTTTTTATTGAATAAGTAATAAGTTGTGAGAAATTTTATCCTAAGAAAAACGAAAATATAATTTATTTTTTAAATAAATTCTTGACTTTATTTTATTATTACTTTATTTTATTTTACCTGTTAAAGCACAATATCATATA